TGTTCTATTATTATTTAAACCATGATGTCAAATACTGTCACAAGTGAGAGAATGTAAGAATTTTTATTAAGTGTCTCATATGCATTCATGGATATTTCTGATTTAAGAAAATTTAATGCAATGGTTTAATAAAATAATAAAGGGTAAATCCTATTAGTCAACTAGAGAAATGGAAGTTTCCCAAATTAACGTCTCTTTGATGGAAAGAAAATATTTCATAAAATTAGGAAACGGGTCCTCTTTCCACCTATAAATAGACGTATTAGGTTCCATCAAAATGTAGGTTAGAAAGACGGTTAGGGGAGAGAAACATAGGGTGCGTTTAGAATTGATTCTAAAACGTTTTTGTTTTCTGTACGAAAATGAAAATGAAAACGTTTTTAGTTTCATTATTGAATTATTTCTGAAAATGCGTTTGGTAGTTTTATTTAGAGATTGATTTCAGTTTTAAAAAAAACTGAAACTGCGTTTGGTGGTTTAATTTTTGAAAACATGTAATAATATATTAAATAATAATATATTAAATAAATAATAAATAAATAATATTATTAAATATATTAAATATATAATATTATTAAATATATTAAATAATAATATATTAAATAAATATATTAAATAAACATATACAATACAAAAACGGTTTCAGAAAAGAGGGAAGAAAATGAAAAAAAAAAAAGAAAGTGAAATCCGTTTTTCAGAAAATAGAAAACGAAAACGAGAAAATGAAAACACCTTTTTTTCGTTTTCTGATTTCCACAAAAAGACAAAAACGTTTTAAATCAATAATATTATTAAATATATTATATAAATAATATTATATAATATATTAAATAAATATATTAAATAAATATATATAATACAAAAACGGTTTCAGAAAAGAGGGAAGAAAATGAAAAAGAAAAAAAAAAGTGAAATCTGTTTTTTAGAAAACAGAAAACGAAAACGAGAAAATGAAAACACCTTTTTTTCGTTTTCTGATTTCCACAAAAAGACAAAAACGTTTTTGGTTTTGTTTTTTAAAAAAAATTACACCAAACACGTTTTTAACACTCGTTTTCATTTTTTTGCTTTGAAAACCGTGAAAAATGAAAACGAAAACGCAAACAAACAGGCCCATAGTTTCTTTTAAAAATCTTCTTACGATCGATTAGTCTTTTCAATAACTCATCACGGATCAAGGTATGTTTTCTCCTTAATTATTGAATTGTGAAAATCATATAGTTCTAAGATTTTGGGCATTATCGTTTATGCAAAATTATTATTTTATTTGCATAATTAAAGAAAATCTTAAAATTTTTCGAAATAGATTTTTAGTAAACTGGATTAGCTTTTTGTATAATTTCGACTTTAAAAGTGAGTTTTGATTTTGTTGATTTTAGTTTCTATTCAAAAATGTTTTTTCTTTTTATGAGAATGGATCGTGGACGACCTCAAAGTTGGGTCGCAGATATGAGGCAGCGCCCAGCGTGTAGGCTCATCAGGGTTGGGCGGCACGATGCAAAGGTTGCATTCGCTGGAGGAGGGTGAGCCTGATGTCATCGTCTCTAGTGTTCGCTAGGTTTTGCGAAAGGGGTTTGACACTGTAAATATTTGTGAAGGTTGCCGTTGCAAGAGGGGAGGTGGCATAAGGACTAGATCGGAAAAGCTGAATTTTTTTTCTCTTGCTCATTGATATGTACTGTTAAATTTATGATTTTGATTCTACTATAGTGTTCTACGGAAAAATACCATATTTATCTGTAAATATGACCTCCAACATCGGTGTAGACGCCTACGACCTCTAAATACCGTATTTATCTGTAAATACCAAATACAATTGCTAACACTGGCACTATGGCCAGCAATCGGTAAATACCATTGTCTCCTTGAGTCTCACATTAGTATTTTCATTCTTATTTTTTTCTCAAGTATGTCTCTAACTAAATATTTTTTTCCTTATAAACCTCTTAAATAATATTCTTCATAAATAATTTATTTTCTAATTTGCTCCACTAAAAACTTTGTTTTCCCTTTTTTTTTTAATGAACTTTGTTTTCCTTTTTTTTAATGAACTTTGTTTTCCTTTTTTTTAAAATTTTTTTAATGAACTTTGTTTTTCCTTTTTTTTTTTTAATGAACTTTGTTTTCCTTTTAATTACGCTCTACTTAAGTTTTTTTATTTTTTACTTTTTGTCAAACTAAACTCTTAAGAGAATACTAAATCAATAAAAAAATTGAAGAAAATTTAAATCTTTATATGCAAAAAATATAATACGTTGAATATATGCGTGTAGTGTAGCGCATTATATCATCTAGTATTGATGAGTGAGTTTTACTCGCTCATTTAGTATCGTTTTACACTTAATATCTAGTTTGTTTTCGAGATTTTTGTTAATTTTTATGTGTGTTTTTATTCTTTGTTTGAAGGTTAGGTGAAAGTCTACGATTTGGAAGGTTTTGGACAAATTTCACTGAAATCCGACGGAATTAGTGCATTGGGGTAGAATGGGCAGCGCTTAGGCGCCCATTACAGCGCCGCAGCGCCCAGGGGTTTTATATAACAGCGCCACAGCACTAGAAACTCAGCGCCGCGGTGCTACGACGCGAGAAAATACGCGTTTTGAAGGCCAATCGCGAGAAAACTTACCCGTTTTGACCCTAATGCTCCGAAACATATAAATAGATGATTCTAGGGCAATTAGAAGGGACTTTTAGATTGTGGAATGACAGCTGGCTTTTGAGAGAGTATTCAAGAGAAGAAAAGGAGAATTGGGACAGAGAAGAAGAACGGCTCAAATCTGAAGACGGAGACGCATCAATTCAACTCCAAACTAGTTCTTTTCTCTTCTTTCCAATGATTAAGACTTTGTTTAGGAATTTATTTTGTTTAGAGATGAACTAATTCCTTTTTCTAGGGCTACGATGTAGCCGGATTATGAATGTTCAAATTCTCAATCTTATTTGTAAGTAATTGATGTTTAATCCATATATGCTGAGTATTTCAATTTATTCTTAATGCTTGTGATTGTTTGGCCAACTATTACATAATTTTGTATTTAATTAGAGACTGAGAGGTGATAATTAACTAAGCTCTTAATTGAAATACCATGAGTTGTTCATAGGATAGAGATATCTATGATGCTTGTGCAATTCTTTTGAATTTCTTGCACTTAATGATTTTCAACAGGTTTAGAAGTCTGACAGAGATGTAGATTTTGCTTGTTGGATTTATATTATTGTTGCTTGAGAAAGAATAATAATTGCTTTAGAGAAATTGCTGTCAGTATAGGATTGAATGTTAATTTTCTTGAATTATGGGAACTTAAACATGATTAATTTGGTGAAATCGGAAACCTTAGAATCTTAATCTATTGAATTTTCATCCATTGCTAGCATTGTTTAATTTATTTAATTGTTTTAGTTTTACTTTACTTAATTTTATAAACTCACTTTTCAATGATTCAAATAAAATTAGGGTTAATATAATTTCAGTAATTAGTAAACAACAATCCTCGTGGGACGATATTCTTACTCACTATTATATTACTTGATTGCGATAGCGTATACTTGCGTTACGATTTTTCACAACAAGTATTTTATAAAAATATTTAAAACCATTTCTAGTTCTAAAATAATTATGCATCGGTGATGTAAATAAACTTTAACCCTTTCAATAAATAGCATTCATTAAGGCTCCGTTTATTTCAGCGATTCGAATTTAGAATTTGAGTTTTACTACAGTAAAAAGTTCTCAGAAACAGTCACATCTAACTTTTTTATTATAATAAAAAGCTCTCACATAAAGTCACATCTCAACTCGAATTAAAAACTTAAATCATCGAACTAAACAGACCATAAAATTAAAAAAAGGGACGGTTTACTATTTTACTCTAATTACTAACAAACGAAAAACAATTCCATAAAAGCAAAAAATAAAATAAAATTTTTTTGCTAATCAAATTTTGTCAAAATAAAAGAAAGAAAACAAAGATAACATTATATATAAAAAAAAAACATAGAGCAATATTAAATTAATATTAATAATCATAAAAAAGGACGTCATACACATTACCTGCTATTTAATAATTCAGTTGGGATATTTTTCGTTTTTCTTTGTGGAGAAGAAACCAAGAAAGAAAAGGAGAAAGTCAAAAGGAAATTTAATGCTCTCTTCCCTAAAACAAAATAGAGACCTTTTTCGGTAAAACTTCTCAATCGGTATAACCAGTTTTTGACCGAATGATTTAACCACATCACAGTATAAAAATATAAAGGATGGACAATTTAGGAGACATTTAGTTTATGGTTCAGACTGATTCATGATTTTAATTTTAAAAATTTAAATTTTTTATAAGAGAAAAATATTATAAAAAATTAAAAATCATGATTTAAAATTAGGGATAGACTTTTTAAACAAACATCCCATTAGTGACTGTTTGGTATAAGAGTTTTAAACCTAAAATCATGATTATGGGTTCATACCAGTGTTTGTTTACAAAAAGTAAAGAGTAGTTTTGATTTGACTCACCCAGAATCAGTGTTTAGTTTAGATGGGTCTGATTCAAAATTTGAACTCTGATGTAATGTTTTAAATCATGAATCACTCATGATTCTAAAACCACCATTGGTTTTGGATGATTCAAATCCCTTATTCTTGTTCTCATTTCAGAACTATGATTTGACCTAAAATCATGAATCATAATTCTGATTCTAAAATCAAAACTAGAATTACTTTAATTTAAACTCTCGTATGAAATGAACCCTTATTATATGGAATAATGGATTCCACAACTGAATATAATATAAAAAATTGTCGTTCGGGTTTGTTTAGTTCACTTTAATTTAAACTCTCGTATAAAACGAACCCATATTTATGTGAGAACTTTTTTATTATAACAAAAAAATTAAATATAATTGTTTTTAAAAAATTTTTACTCTAAAAAAACTCAAAATTTAAACTCGAAGGTTTCTATTAAAGAAGCTCCACCAAACAAAACAAAACAAAATAATTAAAAGAAAAAAGAAATTAGTCAAGGAAATTTCTTAAGCGCCAAGCCAAAAGCATTGTCTATATAAACAAACTCCCACGGAAATCCACCAATACATCCGAACACGCAAACAAAATCCTCCTTAATCCTAAGAGTCCTTTCTCACTCACCGGGAGCGAGGCGCTGAAAGAGCGGCTTACGGTTACGCTTCTCAGCCTTCCCACAATCATCCTCAATCACAATTCACAAATAATAATCATAATCATAATCCTCTCCGATTTTCCTTTTTCTTTCTGATTTCAATTTTCCCTTTCCTTCTTCTCCGATTTCCTCGTTTATATTTCCAACAGTTTCTCTCTCTCTCTCTCTCTCTCTAACCTTCGCTTAGGGTTTCTGCACATTTTGGGTTTCGCGGCTTACGGGTACGCTTCTTCGGGTCGGTGGTGAAACTATGGCGTCTTCCATGGTCATCAAGGTGCGATTCTTCTAGTTTTTGGAACTTTCATGGGTTTGGATTTTGGTTTTGGTTTTGGTTTGTTTTCTCTTTACTTGCTGAGAAAAGTTTGTTCATTTTGTTGTTGTTATAAGTAATTTGAAAAAATTAGAGCTTTTTTTTTTTTCACTACTATTAGCTGCTGTTTCTTAATTGGGTTTGTGAGAAAAGTGGTGTATTTCGTTCGTTGTTTGCTCTGTTTAGGATTGAGAAATTGAAAGGTGTGAAGTTCGACCTAGTCTTTATAAGTTACCAAAATAGAAAGAAATAACCGGACATTTTTATGTATTTTTCCTTTCATTTTTATGTATTTTGTTTTGTTTTGTTTTTTTTTTTGTTTTTGGTTTGGGGCTGTTTTCTGTTTGTTTGCTGAGAAAAGTTTGTTTACTTTGTTTAGGCTTTTAATTAGCTGCTGTTTCTTAATTGGGTTTGTGAAAAAGTGCTGAACTTTGTTCTGTTTTGGATATGAAAATAAAAAGAAATGTTTTGGATATGGGTGTTTGAGGAATTGAAAGGTGGAAAATTTGACCTAGTCTTCATATGCTGTGAGAATAGAAAGAAATAGAAGAGAATCGGCCATTTTCATGTATTTTGGACCGCCTTTCATTTACTGGGATTATGATGTGTATTTTTCTTCTGAAAAATTCACGATGTTGCTTTATAGTCGCGTCGAACATCTTGTTATTATTTTATGGTCAAAAACTTTTTTTTTTTTCCTTTTCAAGTTTCATTACCGGAACAGTTATTTAGGGTTAGTTATGGATTTATTGGTGTAATTGTTACTGTATTGTGTATTGCGAATTTTGTGTCTGATGTCTTTGCTTATTTTACAGGTTAAGTATGGTGATACACTCAGACGCTTCAATGCCCAAGTTAATGAAGATGAACAACTGGATCTTGACATGCTTGGATTGAAGGCTAAAGTCTTAAGTCTGTTTAGTCTTAGCCCTGATGCTGATATTACTCTGACCTATATAGATGAAGATGGTGATGTAGTGACACTAGTTGATGATGGTGATCTACGTGATGTGATGAGGCAGCAGCTGAAGTTCTTGAGGATTGATGTGCAGTTGAATAATGACAAAAGTGGTAGATCTTATGCTAGATCTAGTGGAAGTTCTACCCCCTTACGATCCCCAGTTGATCAACATCCGTTGCCAAACATGACCTCCATTGCAAATGAAGTTCTGAAAACTGTACCGCAGCCGCTTAGGTCGAAACTTCTGAAGCTCTCTCGTGACTCGGCTTCAATGGTTGCATCTACAAGTCCAGCTGTTGTTAATCTTGCTGATTCCCTCTCACGGATTGGGTTGTCCTTCGTCAATCCAGATCCGCTGTCTCAGTTTGTTGGAGAGACAAGTAGAAGAAATCCCAGTTCGGTGAACCCTGAGGTTCCATCAGCTCCTGCAGGTTCAAAACCTCCAGAATCAAGTCCCAAAACAAGCCAGGAGGAGCCAAAAACCAATTCGGTGGACGTAAAAAATGGCACTGCTGGAGATGGGGTGACTGTTAATCCTGTCCGTCCTTCTGTTGATCTCAATAAACCTCCTGCCGAGTGTGATTCTTCTGAGCCTACTGATGTGAAATCCATACCTGTTGCTGTTCCTCCTCTTGACGACAAGAAGGAGAAGAAGCAGATGGACAGTGATCTTAAAGGGAAGTCAGTTGGTTGCGGAGCATCTGCAAGTTCTTCTGTTCCGAGCAAGCATGTGAAAACGGGGCCTTTCCCGGCACCTGATGGTCCCAACAATCCTTTCAATGAATGTCCTTTTTCTGGAATGCCTTTCTTCAATAATCAAGCTCGACCTCCTGTTGGATTCCATCCTTTCCATCCTGTTAAAAGAAACCATGCTGAAGCCATGAGTGGTATTTTTCACAGAGGCATTCGCTGTGACAGCTGTGGTGTTCATCCTATAACTGGGCCTCGGTTCAAGTCCAAAGTGTATGAATCTTTTTGTAGCTTTGAGTCTTGATGTTGATATGTCTTTATAATAACAATAACATTATAGTTTAACTCCTTGCTGAAAGTTTTTATATGTTTCCATTGTACAGGAAAGAAGACTATGACCTTTGCAGTATCTGCTTTTCAGAAATGGGTAATGAGACTGATTACATCAGAATTGACCGCCCAATGTCGTTTCGGCATCCTCGGTCATTCAAGGGAACACACGAGCAAGTATGTGTATTCTTCGTAAATTTTCCTGTCTGTTGTGCTTATTTATCGTATTGTCTTAAATTTTATTATGTATATTTTTTGCAGCATCCATGGGCTATACCCCAAGCATTACCTCATATCATGAGAAATTGTGGGAGCAAGTCTGGTCGACCTAAGCTTAAGCTTGATAGCCGTTTCGTTTTGGATGTGAACATAGCGGATGGTACCTTAATGGCTCCATCTACCCCATTTACCAAAATATGGCGGATGCGGAACAATGGTAGTGTAGTGTGGCCCCGAGGATCCCAACTTGTGTGGGTTGGGGGAGACAGATTCTCCGGGACTCTTACAGCTGAGATGGAGGTGTGTACAACGTATCCATAAGAGTGTCCTGTCTAACCTTTTTTTCCCCCTCTTTTAAATGTTATTGCTTTTTGTTTAAGTTTCGCTCTCTGTGATTTCATCCTTGTCTGTTAGTTTCTGCATGGACGTTTGGTTTTGTTTTGAACTTTTTGTTGATATTCATTCTATGCCAGATTCCTGATGATGGTGTTCCAGTGGACTGTGAACTTGACGTTGCTGTTGATTTTACTGCTCCTAAATATCCTGGTCGATACATTTCCTACTGGAGGATGGCTTCTCCCTCTGGCCAGAAATTTGGACAACGTGTTTGGGTTCTCATCCAGGTATCTTCTAACTTGCAAGAACATTGCCTTGTGATAATTTAGCTATACTTCTGGAGCATATGCTTGAATCTGTGTAATTTTCGGTAAAGTCCACGTGCTTGCTCTTATATCATTTAATAACCTTCTCTTGTATTTATTTCCACAGGTTGATGTTTCTATGAGCAATGCATTTTCCTCAGGCATCCCAGTGACTGCGGATCTGCCTGCATTCAGCAGTGGCACCAAAAGCCCTCAAGCCATAGATGTGAATGTTCACACAGATATGGAGTGCAACTTAACCAAGCCTTTCTCTTATGGGGTTACAGAACCAGAGAAGCCCATTAATGAGCAGCAGCCGAAAAATGAGGAGCTTAATTTTCCCATAGATGAAAGCTTGCTGGTTGGTCAGGCCGTTTCACCCTCTCCTGTAACTGGGGCTATGCCACCTGTGTCGTATCCTATTATTGACTGGACTAAGGATTATAATGGACTCTTTTATATGCCTCCTCTACCCGCATATGTGCCCCTGCCTATGTCCGTACCTGCGCCTGTGCTCCCGTCTGCGCCTGCGCCTGTGCTCCCGTCTGCGCCTGCGCCTGTGCTCCTGTCTGCGCCCATTCCTGTGCCTGCGCCCATTCCTGTGCCTGCGCCCGTGCCCGCTCCTCTTCCTGCGCCTGTGCCTGAAACCTTTCCTGCACCATCTCCGGTTGTCAACGTGACATTGTCGTCAGTTAATGAGGCACCGTTGTCTCCTGTTGTTGATACAACAACATCGTCTGCAGGAACCTCTTCAAAGAATGTTTTTGAGGAGGCCCTCCTCAAAGAACTTGAAGACATGGGTTTTAAGCAGGTGGATCTAAACAAGGAGATTTTGCGCTTGAACGAGTACAATCTGGAGCAGTCGGTTGATGATCTATGCGGTGTTTCTGAGTGGGATCCCCTCCTTGAGGAGTTGGAGGATATGGTAAGTTCTCTGCTTTAAGACTTGACAAAGTCTTTAAATATTGTCCGTTGTCTTTTCCGTCGTTATTCATAATTAGAGGCTTTAAACATATGCCTTATTTTGCAGGGTTTCCGTGATACCGAAACGAACAAAAAGCTGCTGGCAAAGAACAATGGAAGTATCAAGAGGGTGGTGATGGATCTTGTTAATGGGGAGAAGCATGCGTAAATGAAGACTGCTCTTATGGTTCACGTAGTATATAATATGCTTACTAAGTGTCATGACATCTTATATGTCATAAATAAATCATGGCAAATCAAACATCCTATGCACCATCTTTACGTAGTTTTTTTATGTTTCGGTTTCTGGGTTTTCAGCAGGGTTTGGACTTTGGATTATGAACTATGCCATCTTTATTAATACTGTGTACATGTGGATATGGAGTTATGAACAGCTTTAGTAAATATTTACATATAAATATTCAAGAGATGACTATATGTATATGTGTGTGTATCATGTCTCTTTCATTATAATCTGAATTTTTTATTCACTCTCAGCGAGTAAGTGGTCCCACGGTGTGTTGGGTTGCGAGTTGTGACTTGTGAGGAGTGTGAGAGTGTCCTCGAAGAGCCACTCTGAAAAAATTGTGTTTAAAGTGAATTTGTCGACAAGGGCTTGTGCTCCATGAATTGCCTGGTCGTTTCTGCTGGTGGTTGGTTGTTGCTTGTCTCATCTCCAAATGGCCTTGTTTTGCTGACCCAGATTATTCATGGAATAATCAAATTATTTGCTAAACGAATCAGTATTTGATTGGTTAATTCTATCCCGAACTTGGAATGATTTGCAATGATAACGTGCGGCAATAACAAATTATCCCACTTAACAAATTATCAGAATTCCTAACCATAATGGAAGTTTAAACTCTTTGGGTGCTGAGTTTGATTGCTCGAAATCTACTGTGATGTGACTTGCATATAATGACATTGAGAAGTTTCGTACCGTCCTTTTTCCTCAAAACTGTACTAGATTTAAGGAGATTTTCTGGTTGGACAAGGAAAAAAACTTTACTGTAATTTATTTTTTCAATTTTTTAATTAAGTCGTTATATTTGTTTAATATGATATAATTTTCATTTAATTTAATTATACTATTATAACACTTTGATTTGATAGGAGGGATGCGAAGTAAGAATGATGAATAGAATTGGTGGGATGAGAAAAATATAATCAAATCCAATTAAGAATGTGATTATGAGCTTAAAATTGTTATCTTCGGATATGATGGTAGAATATTCCACAATAAAGCACTGCGCTAATGATATAAACATCCTGCTTATCAATGTAGACGTTTTGGTGCAAGGAAAAACAATTAAAAGAAAAAAAAAGAAGCAACAATATAGTCTCATTCCTTTTACTCATTTTCTTTCTTTCTTTGCTTCTTTATTCTTCTTCTTTCTTTGTTTTTATTTTTTTCACGCAACCCCTTAATCCCATATTCTTACCGTTAGAATTTACATTTCTCCAAGTGAATTTGGCATTACTATCGGTCATTTGGTAGAGAGGCAAGGCCCACCTAATAATTCATAACGGATTTATATGATATATGAGTATCTCTTGTCTTCTCAAAATTATCTAAGTACGTCACCCTCTACTTTTATAACTCTTTAATTTCATAAAAAAAAAAAAGGTGAATTTGACTTTAAATCTCAAAAGGGTACATGTGTAAATAAGTTGATTTTTATTTTTATTTTTGGAAAATATTACATATCTATATATTTGTTTATTCAACAAATTGATATATTTGTTTATTCAACAAATTGCACTAAGTGGATAACAAAAATGTGGTAACTGGTAACGTGGTATGAAAGGTGAAATTAGGCGTACATCATCATGACACTTTGGCCCTTTACCTTAAACCTAAGACTATATATATAGCCTAAAAAGGCTTTTAATGAAGTGAAACACAAGTAGGAGAAAGTAAGCAACTTTAGAAGCTAGGAACTAGGAAGTAGAAACTAACTAGTACAGGGCATTTCTTATTCAGTGACTTTGTTATTGTCCTCATGTTGACAAGATCAGTTTTTCATGTGCTCTTTCACTAGTTTAAGACTTCCAGTCTAATTTACAATATTCACAAATTCTCTCTCTTCTCTCTCTCTCTTATCTCTCTCATACCCCAGATTCTTAATTGAACATAGACTTGATCCCTTCCATGATTTTCTGTCTGCAGATCAAAATGTCCACTTAGATTAATTAAACTATAAGATCCCATTTAATTAAGCTCCATAATTGGGCCATGGAATTCCAATAAAGAAGCTTTTATTAGTAGTATTTTATTTTGGCTTGTACTTTAGTTAATATAATTCAACTCAACTTCTCTCTCTCCTTCTGTTTTCATTTTTGGGGGATCCTGCCCATTTCCCCATAAAAAAACTTTCAAGGTATCTCTTTGGGCTTTGGGCTTATTTGTTTTGGAGTTTGGTGTCACAATCTCCTCTCTGGGTGAAACATGTGAGTTTTCATGCTCCTGCCTCTTCAAAAGGACATGTAATAAGGCAATCCATCCACCTGTGAGTTTTCTTTTTCTTTTTTTCTTTTTTTAATTTTTTGATCTCTGGGCTTTTTTTCATTCTTGAGATGTGGTTTGGAGCAGAACAGAACAGAAAACACCAGGACTACTAGGACTACTACAAACTACTTCAGAGCATGTCTTGTATAGTTCTTCCCTTAATTTTTTGTTGTTGTGTGTCAGCTTATCCATTTCTTCTTTTTATGTTGTTAATGAGCTTTTCCATGCTTCTTCTCTATAAAAATGGAGATGGATGGGTACTGAAGTTTAGTGGAAGAAGATAGATATATTTACATATATTTGTGTTTTTATATATACATGATGTTATTGAAGTTTTCTCTTGTTTAGAAAAAAGATGGAATCTGGGAGTAGATTTTACTCAGCTGATGAGTTCAGATTGGATGCAAAATGGCTTATTGATCCAAAGCAACTCTTTGTTGGGCCAAGGATTGGAGAAGGAGCTCATGCTAAAGTGTACGAGGGAAAGAAAGTTTTTTTTTTTTTTTTTTTTTTTTTTTTTTTTTTTTTTTTTCAGATTCTGATGTTTTCCTTTCTTCTTCAATTGATTCGCTCTATAGATTTGAAAGTTTTGTCTTAGCTTTGAATTCTGGGCAATGCCATTTCTCTTTGATTGAGTGGAATGCTATCTAGATTTACAAGTTTTTTTTTTTTCTGATTTGTGCTTTTCCGAAAGCTCTTGTTTTTGGGACACTTCTCTTCTTAATTCTTTTGTGGGGTTTGTTTAGCATTTTATTTTATTTCAGATTTCATATCCAAAAGCTTTGTTCTTTGGGGGGTCATTTCAGATAATGTTGTCAATTTCCATAAAAATAATCCCCTTTTTTTTTTTTCAGTGGGTTCATTGGGATAGTGAGGTTCAGTACCTCATAAATCTTCAATAGTGCTTATTTATTTATTTCCTGTTCATTTGATTATTTTCAGATACAAAAACCAGACTGTTGCCATAAAAATTGTTCACAAAGGAGAAACTCCAGAAGAAATCTCCAAAAGAGAAGGCAGGTTTGCAAGAGAGGTTGCAATGTTGTCCAGAGTTCAACATAAAAATTTAGTCAAGGTGGGATTTTTTAGTTACTCCTTAACTTATCAAATGAGCAAGAAAATGCAATTGCAAAAAAAACAACAATAAAAGAATAGAAAATAAAAGAAAAGAGGTCATTTGGTGGTGCAATTACTATCATATTATTGTTTGTCAATGTCAGATAATTAATGCAGAAGCCTTGTGTGTCAACAGTTCATTGGTGCTTGCAAGGAACCGGTTATGGTGATAGTTACTGAGCTTTTATTGGGTGGCACATTGCGTAAATACCTGTTGAATATGAGGCCAAGATGCTTAGAAACTCGTGTCGCTGTTGGTTTTGCACTTGATATTGCTCGTGCCATGGAGTGCCTCCACTCTCATGGCATCATACACCGTGATCTTAAGCCTGGTAATCTCTCATTTTCCTTTTCTTTTTTTTTTCATGTTTTATATTTGTGTTCTTAAGAGTATGAATCTTGACATATTGATTTATGCAAAAAAGGGTTGATCTTGTTATGGTTATAGTACTTCTGGACAGATTCTTTTCGGTCAGAGATTATTAATGACAATTGTTGTTAATTTCCCAACTGCTCATGGCTTAACTCTCTTTGGTTTTTAATTGCTGGCATTGTACGGTTGTACCTGTGCTTTACCACGCCAGAGTTCATAACTGCGGATGACATATTCTTTTCCTAACATTATTTTGAATAATGAAAGCATAGGTGGTCGTGTATAGATGAGCGGATGGAATATTGAAAAAGCAATGTACAAGCAGAGGAAAGAAGAAGACGAAGGAGAAGGTTTTGGGAAAAGCTCAGAAATAGCTTACTTTTCCTATAATAATGTACTGCGCTAGGCTATACAATAAGAATCATGGTTTAACATGTATTTAAGTCACCAAAATACATTTAGCGCGCCCCTTCTCGTATCATGATGCCCGCTCGGTTGTAGCCTAGTGGTGTGGGAATGAGCCGTAAATCGGAACATCTTGAGTCTGAGTCCCGCTAGAATAACCTCGTAATTCTCGACTAGTAGAGGCTTACACCTAATAAATGTTGATTATTATTATTTTTTTAATTTGCTTATTAGTTTTGATGTTTTTGGGTGCAGAGAACTTGCTCATGACTGCGGATCACAAAACAGTTAAACTAGCGGATTTTGGATTAGCAAGAGAAGAGTCATTAACGGAGATGATGACTGCAGAAACAGGAACATATCGTTGGATGGCTCCAGAGGTACACAAAATGATCTCTCTCAATCTCCTTCCTTCCTTTGAGGACTCATAAATACTGTCAATGCTGTTGGTTTTTTTGGAGAGCAGTTGTACAGTACTGTTACATTAAGGCAAGGAGAGAAGAAGCATTACAACCATAAAGTGGATGCCTATAGTTTTGCAATTGTATTGTGGGAGCTCTTGCACAACAAATTGCCCTTTGAAGGCATGTCAAATCTGCAGGCGGCGTATGCAGCTGCTTTTAAAGTAATCAAGTTTTTTTCGTTTATATACAATGTTCCTATCTTCATTTGTTCGGATTATTTAATCTCTGAAATCTTCCTTGTACTGCTAAACTTTTCTGAAACTTTGAAGGGTTATTTTGCAATTTCAGAATGTGAGACCGAGTGCTGAAGATCTTCCGGAGCAATTGGCTACCATTCTAACTTCATGTTGGCAGGAGGACGCGAATGCTCGGCCTAATTTCAGCCAAATAATCCAAATGCTGCTTAATTATCTTTACACCATTTCTCCTCCAGAACCCGTGATTCCTTCTCGGATTTTCACTTCCGAGAACACCGTCTTGCCACCGGAGTCTCCTGGTACAAGCTCATTGATGGCGGTTCGTGATGATACAGGGGAGACTCTGAAAGCAAATATGGAAGACAAGCCAAAAGGGTTTTTCTTCTGCTTCAACCAGTGTTATTAACCCCCCAAAATAGTTGAAGTGAAGATTGTAAACTTCTGCCCTTTCTTTGGGCAGTAATGTCTAAAGGGAAGCTTTAGTAAATCACAGGATTTAGTCCAATTGGATAACTTCTGATAACATGGTAAATGTTTAAGTCGATCGCATTGCCATTGAAGGTCAGTTATCAGGTGAAAATACACCGCGAGTGCATCTTTCATGCTGCTGGATTTAGCTTGTAGGAGCTTAGCTCTCATTAGGCAATCTTTAACTTCAAGTAACTGATAGTTTACAGTAAGGTTTCTCTCTCATGTTTTCTTGTAAATTTATAAGTTGGAGGTATAATTTTTGTAAGCAAAGAATCAAATGATGCTGTTGATGCATGCATACTCATTTTTCTCCTTCTCATTATTCCATTATTCTTAGCTGCTTTTATAGTGAATGTTTCTGAACGTTATATCTGATCAAAATAACATCCAAAAAAAAAAAAGTATTCAAAAATTGACATAAATGATACATATCTGACAGTTCAAAACAGAAACAGAACCTCACCGGAAAAATCTCATTTTTCTTATCACCAAACTGTGGATGGGAATGCTTAGGAGATTGGGTAAAAATGACTTGGCTACTTTTTACTGGCCCCGTCCATCTTTTACCTTGTTGGCTTGGCACGAGTCACAAAACACCGAGCTGTTTTTTCACGGATTGTGGGAGAGTGATGGGAAATTTGGCTGCCAATACAAGTGCTAAATTGATTGACATAAAAATTGGTTGCATGTAAACCATGTGCGTTGAATATGAATCAAGAATATCTAATCCTTGTTCCTAGAAAAATGTTTAATATCACCGTAAAGTACAACAGTTGTTTTTTTTGTTTTTTTTTGTTTTCAATTGCAAATAGTAATAAGATAACAAAAACTAAATGGAATTGAATAGAAGTGCTCATGTTTCTAAGACAAGACTTTCCCAATGTAATCCTCTGTTTGATCTTAATGGACCAGGATAACTACTACCTGGCAACCTTATCAGAACAAGATATTTCAGGTTTATTCTACATTATCACTGTGAGATTTTCTGATACATCCTGAAAAAATGAACTATAAAAAAGTCTATGTTTTCAACTAGCAAATTTATTATCAAAAACTGTTGCCATGTTTGGTATGATAATTCGTGTTATGGTTCGTGGCTCGTTACAGTATTTTTTCTCACAAAAAACACACGTAAATAAAAAATAATTCTAAATTATAGTTCTAAATCTGTAAACCAAACATCCACTGTATGTTCTACATACTTTTTCAATCTAATTTAATTTTGATAAGATCCTAAAACTGTAGGAAAAAGAGTTTTTAAATTGCAACAATGCAGTAAAGTATACACATCAAAGGGAAAGAAAAGTAAAGCATAAGAGATCATCCAAAAAATGGTTCAATAATAATTCTGCTTTAAACAATTTACTAAACCATGGGAAATTTCCTACAGGCTCTAATTTCGAAATTATAAGACATAAAGATACTTGAGATTCACCAGTAGTCATTGCAGGAACATGACCCTTCTTTGAAATGATGGAAGCGGTTCCTATCCCTTAAAACAATCTCTCTTTTGAATACTTTTGATATTAGTTTTGCTGCGTTGTGGCAATCAGTGCACACTCTAAGATTCTTGGATACTCTAATTGTAGTTACTGGAGATGTTCTGATCAGACCGAAAGCAATGGCGAGTTTCTCGCTGTGATGCGACACCGACGCTTCCTTATCTTCTTCCTCCGCATCTAGTCTAGCATCCGCCGTGTTGGGAACGTAGCCAGCTGACTTGATCTGTCTCATCATGTCTTCAGTTGCATTGTAAACCTCCTTTGAGTGTGGATGTCCGTTGTTGTCCTCGGCAAAAAACTCATAGATTACTGCATCCAATTCAATCAGGCTACAGCCAGGAGCCGTCTTATTGGTCCTTTTCTCTTTCATTTGGTTCCTCACCCTCATTGCGTCGTCACGTCTTCCCACTGACGCGTAAAGATTCGATAGAAGTATGTAATCCCCACTATGAGCAGGCTCCAATCTGATAATGTTTTTTAGCGATTCTTCGCCAATTTTGACATTTTTATGCGCCTTGCATGAAGCCAACAACGTCCTCCAAACGACAGCATTTGGTCGGATAGGCATGTTCTTTATGAACTCGTACGCCTCTTGAATCAAACCCGACCGTCCCAAGATATCTACCATACAGCCGTAGTGTTCAATCCGTGGTTCAATGCCATAATCATTACTCATGCTGATGAAAAGTTTTCGGCCCTCTTCAACCAGACCTGCATGACTACAAGCAGAAAGAACGCCAATGAAAGTCACATCATTAGGATCAACATTCTTTTCCTGCATTTGTTTGAAGTATTTGAGAGCCTTTTTCCCTTGACCGTTACTAGCTAGACCTTGAATAAGTGCCGTCCAGGAAAACACATTTCTATAAGGCATTTTATCAAACACCTCGATCGAACCTTCTATCGACCCACATTTCGCATAAAAATCAATTAGTGCAGTTCCAAGTATAACAGTGAGTTTCATTTTGTTCTTCTCAATGTAAAAACGGACCCATTTACCGGTTTCAAAAGCTCCAAGGACAGCACAGGAATAAAGCACGCTAACCATGGTAACCTCGTTCGGCTCCACATTAGCCTCTTGCATTTCCTTGAACAAATCAAGTGCTTCCCTTCCCCTATCCCCGTGGCTATAACCAGAAATCATGGCACTCCAAGCAACAACATCTCTTCGATCGATTTGGTCAAACAATCTTCTTGCGGTGTCAACCTGACCGCATTTTCCGTACATGTCAATCAGAGAAGTGATCAAAGCAAGTTTACTCTTCATCAACTCATTTGCTTCAACATACTCACCAATCCACTCTCCTAACTCCAAATCACCAGCTCTCCCGCACGCCGTCAAAACACTAATCAACGTGATCTCGTCAAACTCGAAACTTGATTCTCGCATCTCCCGAAAGAGCCTCACAACCTCATCCCAACGCTCGTTCTTCACGTAACCCGTCAATATCGAATTCCATGTCATAACATGTCTTCGCGGCATTTTATCAAACACATTCCGAGCAATCTCAATTTCGCCGCAACTCGCATACATATGAATCAAAGTGTTTTGAACAAACGCATTTGACTTGAGCCCCGAGTATTTCACGATCTGGGCATGAATCTGTTCTCCCTCGCTCAACGCTCCGAGTCTAGAGCAAGCTTTCAAGACGCTCGGAAACGTGAACTCGTCGCGCTGGACTGAGTTTTCGAGCATGTTCTTGAACAAGAGAACGGCCTCGTGGTTGGACTTCTTGTATATGAGTCCTCTGATCATGACATTGTAAGCTGAGGAATCGGGTCGGTCGATACGGCGGAAAATGGAGAGAGCGTAGTCCATGGCGTCCGGGAGAAGAATGGCGGCGGACTCCAGGACGTTTTCGGCGATGGCGGGGCTGTGGAGGAGGCTGGTTTTGAGGAGGTGGGCGTGGATTTGGTTGAGGTCTTTGGTGGTCTTGCATTGTTGAAGAATTAAGGTTTTGGGATTCTGTGGGAACTCGGAAATGGTGGTTATGGCGGTTGGAGTTTTGGAGGGAGATAGAGTGCGTGTAGCTACTGCCAATGCCATGTTGTGTTGGCCACACTCACTACTAGCAAGAATGAATATCTTTATTTTGCATGAGCTTGTATTTTACTTTTTTTTTTTTTTTTTTGGGCTACTGTGAGCTTGTATTTATATAAATATCTAGAATTCACGTATTTATTTTTGTGTCGGAAGAGTTCTTGTTTGAACCATCAGATCTTTATTTAAAGTATGTTAAACTTGTATATTTTTAAAATTTAATATGACTTTGACCAAATATTCAGAAACATATATTCTCACTGTTCATAAAAATGCGATACGATAAAAAAGCTCAAATTATAAATGAATATTGATTTGAAGGTTGAGAAAAAGTCGCATTTCATGCGACGTTTGTTTTGTTTCAAGAGGCATCATAACTTTGTATATATGATAAATCCTAAAAATATGGATAGCATTTGTTATTTTTAAAACTTGAAGGTAGAAATTTAAACTCTAATATCTTTAGATGGAGTCAAGGATAGATTTTACTGTTTGTTTTTTATTCTGCAACTACAATATAGATACCATAATCTTATATTCGTGTCTCTAAATTCTCTCTGTCCTTCGCATTAATATTAATGTTTTACACTATACTTTTGTTTCTGAAAAGAAAGGAAGGATAATGTCACCACAAATAAAACGATTGACGTTTTAGTTTTTATAAATAAAAATGACAGGCTTAGGCATGATTATTCTTAAGTAACGAAAAATAAATAATTAAATGGATAGATAAGATTGGCATATTAATTTGGTTTGTTTAATGAGGACTATCCACCATCAGCAGTCAGCATCTAAAGCTTCACAAGAAATATTGAGCTTCTTTTGATTCTTGCAAAATGCATATTTCTTTTTTCTTTCTTAATCCTAATTGGTTAGATTTAACTTTCTTTTAGAACATTAAAAACATGAAATTAATCTATCCAACGCATTTACCATGATCAAAGGCCATATATATGTATATACATATGTATGTATAGCATAAGATTCATTTTATACATTTCTAGAAGAAAATTGATATATATTCCTAACTCCATACGTGGATGTGATCATGTCACATCAGCTCTGAAAGGAACTTCCGTCTTTTCTGGCTCAACTCCTTTTTGGCCAAATATATTATTCTTTTCATAAATCTGAATTCATTTTCTGAAATAGAAAAAAGGCGAAGAATTAGATGCAAACCTTATCACTTAAGAATAAAGGAAAAAAAAAAAAAATATAGCATCCATATGCCTATAAACTCACAAAAGTTTTCACTCATAGTTGCAAAGTGAAAACTGATCGATTGAGGAAACATGTCGTCCAGCGATTACTATGACTACATATCGAAATTGATGAGGACTCCGAGCGTTGTGACAACCGACGTGCCGCGCTACGGTAACGCTCCGATGTTCTTCAGAAACTCGAGGATGACGATGGGCAACACTCGCGAAGAAGATCGAGATCGTAAAGAAGATGATCAGAACAAGAGCCACGTGACGAAGAAGCAGCAGCATACTCCTCATTTTCAGGAGAAGGTTGAAGTTTTCGAGTACGATCAGCAGTCGGGTGCTGGTGATGGGAATTATGTCATGAATGGTAATTCTGTGAACAGCCAAGTTTGTGATGATGATGTCAATGCTATAGCCAACAGCTTTATCCAGCAAAAGCGAAAGGGATTCGAGCTCTGCAAGTGGAAGACGTTCAAAGCACATTAATTTAGTCTTAGAATATTGTTGGTCATGGATATATATTTGTGGTCTGCTATATATTTGACAGGCAAAAATAAGTAGTTTTTATAACCTTAATTAGGCGTGTTGTTTATAACACGCCTTATGTGTACAAGTGCCTGCGCCTTTTACTGGTTGTTTGTGTAGGATGCCATGTATTACTAAGATGCATAACAAAATAGTATAAACTTTTTTTTTTTATCTGAACAATAGTATAAACTCATCTTTGGTTTATGTATGTGCAAAGGATTTATTTTTAAAACAGCTAGCTTCTGAAGTGTTGTTTTAAATAGGTGTTGAAGCTTTCACAGAAATTATTTGCTTGTTGACATGATCAGAGTTTTTCTCACTTTCAAATGCGAATAGTTCTCAAATTTTCATCTCTTTTTTGCCTTTACGATCAGGGTCTAATTAATAATTTTTGCATCGAATTTTCCCGAACAAACAAGAAAAACAAGCTAGGATAAGAATTCTACGACGATCGATCCCTAAAATCCTAGGCTTCACTTTTCAAGGCCAAGTTGGCAGTCTGGCCTCGGGGTTTGCAGAAGTGCAAAAATGATCCCCAAGTTAAAGATTCAAAGAAGGGCATGAACAAGAAGGTGATAGGATTATGTTAGTAATTAGCAATCAATATAATAAGTGGTTAGTGGTCAGTTATTAGGATTAGTTTGTTAAGCTAGTTAGTAGTAGTATATAAGGAATAAAAAGAGACTAAAGGGGAGGAGGGATCAGAGTAAACTGAGAAAACCATAACCGAACTTGAATTGAGAAATTGAACATAAAAGAAAAATTATATTGATGAAGTAATTGAAAGAGATTACAAGATAGATTGGCAGACGTTCGAAAGATCTGCTAGCTCTTCCAAAGGTTTTTCCAGTTTACTCTGATCCCTCCTCCCCTTTAGTCTCTTTCTATTCCTTATATACTACTACTAACTAGCTTAACAAACACAACAAACCAACCCTAATAACAGACCACTAACCACTTATTATATTAATTACTAATTACTAACATAATCTTATTTTTGAAAGAGTGTGACATATTCTTTAGTCTGGTAAATAGATGAAAGGAACACAAAGTGAGTACCAATATTTTTTGTCAAAATTTTCAATTCTCTCATATTGCATTTACCAAATTCCCTAGTATTAGAGCACTTGATGATTATTATTGCAGGGTGTTAAAGGGTCCACATGCCAGCCTGCAATAATTCTGATTGGAATCAGATGGACCTTTCATATGCAAAATTATTATACTGAGAATAACATACCCGTTTCACTAGATCAACTAGGTGTCTCACATTCACATTATATGTGACATAAGGAGAGAATCCTATGGTAAAGCTTACTCCACTTGTTGGGAGACAAATTCCTCACGAGTCCTCAATTCGAAACGTCGAAAAGGAAACGTTTTTACGGCATTTCCGTTTTTCAATATCGTGTTATCAGTTATGTATGTGCAGTTAAGTAGCAGCCACATCAGTGAGCAGTACCTAGAACTAATTAGGCAAGGAAAAACATAGAAAGGAAAGCCATGATCAAACTGCAACTTTTCATGGGAAAATACATCAAGGAAATGGTGATTGAGAGATTTTTATAATTATTTAATAATACCTTCATTTAAGAAAATTACTTCCGCTTCAAATTTATCAAGCCAGCAGAATTTTTGAAACTTGCTAATATAAAATTTAGAAGAAAAGTTTCTTTCTTCATTTTACACATTCTTCTGCTTCTATATTAACTCCGAGACTCTACTCTCTATCCTTCTTGAAAGCACAAAGCAAAGCTTCAGTTAACAAGAAATTAAAAATTGGAACACTGAAACATCAGCAAGAATCTGCTCAGATTAACACCAAAAAACAAAAAAAGAAAGTCACAAATGATCATTATCCCGCGGAATTTTAGCCTCGTTAAATCTCCTTGAAGACATGTGAATGAACAACTTTCTAAGACTATTCTTACTTTCTTTACGCTTCCTATGGACTCGACCCGGACCAATATCCATCTCCGAAAACGGACTATCCAATACCAAACCCGTCTCTAACTTTTTGGAGACTGTCACAATCTCATAAGAGTCCCACAAGGATTGGCCAAAATCCCAAGAAGAACTTGCAGAAGAGCCAATACTATTATTAGACGATTTGGTCATTGCTTCAATCTTGAATCTTGAAGGCATGCCTCGGAAGTTCCTCTTTCGCGCGTCGAACTCATTCGTCGGTCGAAAGCTCTCCGAGTGGCTGTACCGAGCTTGTGCCACGGCCTTGATGATCTCTAGCTCTCGCTTATCAATAACACCATCTTGAGGCTGATCTTGTCTCTTCTTCATCACCCTCTTTTTTCTTATTTGTTTCTGATATGTTCTAACAAAGTCTTCTTCTTTGGGCCATGAGATATTGAGATGAGAGAATTAGAGCCTCACATTGTTATTGATGTTATCATGAGGAGGAGAAAGATAAGTTGCACTTGCATGGATTTGATTTACATTTTGTTGTTACATAGATAAAGACCCCTTTTTTTTTTTTTTTTTTCTATTTCCCAAGAATGTCATGAAAACATACCTATGAGTGGCTTTTTGGATAGGCTATAGATTTTTGTGTTGTTTGTGGGGTAGGGTTTGTTTTGTCTGTTTGTTAATCTCCCTGGTCAATTTTCTAATGCGTGGATGAAGATTGAAGATGATTTACCGTACGTAATTAAGGGTGATATGAATACCGCTGGATTTCGTCGTCGTAACTCATAGATCAACCATATATATGTTAGAGAGATTGTAATATATCTCTCAATCTTGATATCACAAAATTAGATTAAAACACATTTGGGAAGAGCAGGCTGACGCAAGCACGCACTGCAGCGCGAAAAAGTGCGCGCTGCAGCGCACGGACGCGCTGCAGCGCGTTTGGGCGCTGCAGCCTGCGCAAAACAGACCTCTCGGGTCTGTTTTGCTAGGCACGCGCGTTGCAGCGCACGGGCGCGCTGCAGCGCGCGTTTGAGCGCTGCAACGCAAATCTTCGACGGAAAATGTGTTCGTGTGTTTTAGTGATTTGAAAAGGTCTCGAACCATTGCATCTATTTGTGATATGTTTTCTCACATATCTGAGCACTTATTAACAATAGAAATAACTATTGTTATAAGTGTATCAGCATATAAAAGATAACCATCAAATTGAAAAGGTATCTTTATGTGAAAGGTTGTAACACTTAAAGAGGATGAATGCATCCCTGTCTTTATATGATGGACTTCAGAAAA